CATACACAAAAATAAACTCAAAATGAATAAAAGATTAAATATAAGCTGTGATAAAACATCTACAAGAAAACAGGCAGTAAATTGTCAGACATCTTCATGTAGCAGAATTTTTACTGATAAATCTCCTAGGCAAGAGAAACAAAGAAAAAAATGAACAAATGGGACTGTATCAAATTAAAAGCTCCGTGTCAAAAGAAACCAGCCTCAGTATGCAAAGAGAACCCACTGCGTGGGAAGACATATTCGCCAATGACACATCTCATAGGGGCTAATTTCCAAGATGTATAAAGACTCACACAACTCAGCAAAAGGAAGACAAACTATACAGTTAAGAAAATAGGCACAGGACGTGAATAGACATTTTTCCAAAGAGGACATACAGACCTGGTGGTGTTGCTGAGGGGTTGAGTGTCGACACATGAGCCAGGAGATCACAGTTCCATTCCTGGTCAGGCTTCACGTTAGATCCTCAGTAGGAGCATGCAGGAGGCAGCTGACAGATGGTTCTCTCTCCTCATCGATGTTTCTGTCCCTCTCCCTCTCCCTTCCTCATTGAAGTCAATAAAAACATATACAAAAACATAGGCAGAGAGGGCCTTCCAAACAGGGAAACGATTTGAACAAAGTGAGGAAGAGGGAATTCTAGCATAAAGAGTGGGGGAGAATGAGTTAGGGACGGATGGTTTCTGAACTGGTGAGTATTTAAGGATGGCTGAGCTGGTAATGGTGAGCAAAAGGATGTGCTGAGATAAAAAAACTAGAAGCTAGGAGAACCGCTAGACAACGGTTTTCATAAACCAGGCCCAGGGCTGATAGGCACAATGAAAAGGCTGCTGTAGATATGAGATCATTTTATGGGAAATTAACAGGACACAGTGATTGACTAGAAATTGATGATGGAGTCAATTGATCATTGACTAATGATTCCACTTTTTTTTTTTAAAAAATATTTTTTATTGATTTTTTTTTTTTTAACAGAGAGGAAGGGAGAGGGATAGAGAGTTAGAAACATTGATCAGCTGCCTCCTGCACACTCCCTACTGGGGATGTGCCCACAACCAAGGTCCATACCCTTGACCGAGATCGAACCTGGAACCCTTCAGTCCGCAGGCCCACGCTCTATCCAGGGAGCCAAACCGGTCAGGGCAGATTTTGCTTTCTTAACTGAGTGTTTAGCTTCCCAGATTGCACTGTTCGCGCCCCCTCGACAGGTTGCTTTCTGAAGCTGGAGGGAAGGCCAGGAGCAATGGTTAGGACTGTGTTTACCTCATTCACCAGCAGCAACAAGAAAGGGTAGCTGTGTCCTGTGGTTGCTTTGGTGCCCGCAGTTGATGCCCTGCAGGTGCCACGCACAGTTGGGCGAGGCTTCCTACTGGACAGTCAGCCATCCATTGCCTGTTGTCATCTAGGCTGGGAGATGGCAAAGGCTTCACATGTGTGGTGTCTTCTAATTCAGCACCTCGTTGTTTAGATCACAAATTGATAGAAAATACTAGTTCCTTTAATTACTGAAGTGAAACAACTTACCCTATCTAATAAGGAGGGAATGCTAATTGACCCTCATGCCGTTGCAAGGATGGTGGCACCCACAGCCACAAGATGGCAGCGCCCAGTCCCCTCAGCCCTGCTGGAGTGGCAGGCGCATGGCAGGGCGGGTCTGGCCGCTCCGCCTGCCTGCCTCCGGAGTCCCCCAGTCTCCTCAGCCCCCCAGCCACCCAGGGCCACCCGAGGCTCAGGTAACCAGGGCTGGCCGAGGCTTGCGCTGCCGGCAGTGGCAGCAGCAGAGGTGTGATGGGGCATCGCCTTCCCCTGATCACCAGGTCGCCTCCCGCCCTGAGGGCTCCTGGACTGTGAGAGGGGGCAGGCCGGGCCGAGGAACCCCCTCCAGTGCATGAATTTTCATGCACCGGGCCTCTAGTTTCTTCAGAAGGACGCAGATGCCTTTTAGTGATTTTGTGGAGCGTTTTCCTTAGGAAACTCTTTTTCTTTCTGCCATAACAGTCCACAGAGAATTTGTTGTCATTGATCTTGGTGGTTCTGCCCCTAAAGCATTGTTTTCCAGATGATTTCTTGAGAGGTTAATGTCTGTTTCTTTCGTTTTATATGGCTTTTTGTTTTTAATATTGAAAATATTTATCTGAAGATGAAGACCGGCCGGCTGTGTGCACTGGCCTGCTGCTGCGCCCACAGGGCCTCTGGCATGGAGACCAGCCTGTTGGCAGCCGAGCAGGGCCAGGTGTGCCATGGCCGCTGGTCAGTGTCCACAGCATGGGCGGGGAGGGTGCCACACGCCCACCAGCCTGACCGAGGCCTCCCTGTGCAGGTGGAGCGGCCCCCCTCTCCTTTCTCCACGGCTCCACAGGCGCCCCTGCCCCCGGTGCCGCCCCGACTGGACCTGCTGCAGCAGCGCTTGCCCGGCCCTGTGGGCGCTGGCTTGGGAGGGGCTC